AATCTGTTTCCAAAATGTTATTATTTGCCCTTGGAAGTCAAGAACAATTGATCAGCATTGAATATGCAGTGCTAAGCATAGTGCCTGGTACCTGGGAGCTTGAGAGGGATTTGATGGGCAGATGCAGGCATGAAGCACAGTGTAGTAGGAAGCTTTACTGACCACATGCACATGTTGTCTGTGAAGTCATGTCGAGTGTTGCTTTTTCTTCCAGCCAGCATTGAATTAAACACATCATTGCACTTCATCCCAAATCCCGTCTGCATATTTCAGATTCCATCAGATCTTCTAACTTAGTGGTCGGCAAACTGCGGCTTTCAAGCCACATGCGGCTCTCTGGCCCCTTGAGTGTGGCTCTTCCACAAAATACTACGTGCGGGCGCTCACATACAGTGCGATCGAAACTTCGTGGCCCATGCACAGAAGTCCGTTTTCGGCCTGGGCGAGTCTATTTTTAAGAAGTACTGTTGATATTTGGCTCTGTTGACTAATGAGTTTGCTGACCACTGAGATAGATGAAACAAGTACACAGGAGAGTTGGAAGGGATCGACCTCAGTGAACGTACCTCAATCAGATTGAGGACGTTTTTAGCAAAGGCCAGCTTAGGAGTACCCTAATTAAGTTAATAACAATGTACCTACCTATATAGTTTAAGTTTAAAAAATTTGGCTCTCAAAAGAAATTTCAATCGTTGTACTGTTGATATTTGGCTCTGTTGACTAATGAGTTTGCCGACCACTGTTCTAACTGACTCCATCTACCAAATTCCATGTGACAGGTGTTGCAAAATGTGGCGCTGTGAGGGAGTACAGAGGATGCTTTTTCTGATTCTTTTCTCTTTGAGGGTGGTCACAGCCTGATAAGGCATCCTTGGTGTTTATGTCACTTAATGAACACAAAGCCATGCCCTCTGAAAGTTCTGGGCATGTTGGGAAGAGCTTTCAATGAGCTACATTGGAGATTTGGTACACACTCCAATGGTGCTCCAGAAGACCTTTGCGGTTATATTAGAATTGGCCCTTGTGGCAGTTGGGAACATGTGGTTTCAATGAGAAGTTCTTTTTGAAAAGTTGCTGTTTGACTCGAGTTTTGATGAAAGGCTTTAGTAAACAGGGTTCAAGAACTGTGCACTTGGAAACAAATTTAGAGCAGAACAGTTTAGGAGATCTTGAAACTCACGCTGAGAAAACCTGGGCAAAAAGTGTGCTGGATGTCTTCATTTCACTTATGGCTCTGGTAGGATATGGCCGCCCTATTCCAAAGTATTCTCCACAGACATACGACCAGTCAAGATTAATTTTACCAGAAAAGCCGGCCAATTCCAGCTGGATAGCCAGGGTTTCAGTGGTTCTGAACCTTGGCTGCACGCTAGAATCACCTGGGAATCTTTTTAAAATCCTGATTTCTGGGCCTCATCCTCCGGAAATTCTGTTTCTTTGTGATGGGTTGGGGCCACAACATGAGTCCCAAAGAAACAGAATTTCTGGAGGAGGAGGCCCAGAAATCAGGATTTTAAAAAGATTCCCAGGTGATTCTAGTGTGCAGCCAAGGTTGAGAACCACTGGTTTAGAGAGATTTCATTTTGACAGTTCAGACCAGTCAAACACCTCCCAGCCCTCTTGCTGTTTACTATTGCTCTTGCCTTTGGACCCAAGCATCTGTAAAAGGAAATATGGGGAATGGTTTGGTTGGTTTCATGCAGCTGAACTTATTATACTGCACGTGGAGACAGTGGGCTTGTAACCAGACTTAGTAACAAACTTGCTGTCACCTTTCCATGGAAATGTTTGAGAAAGCAGTAGGTCCTAAGTGCTAAGGCAGTGGTTCTCAACCTTCTGGCCCTTTAAATACAGTTCCTCATGTTGTGACCCAACCATAAAATTATTTTCATTGCTACTTCATAACTGTCATGTTGCTACTGTTATGAATCGTCATGTAAATATCTGATATGCAGGATGGTCTTAGGCGACCCCCGTGAAAGGGTTGTTCGGCCGCAAAGGGGTCGCGACCCACAGGTTGAGAACCGCTGTGCTAAGGGATCTGGCGGCGCATTTAGACCATGCAGTGACACCTAAGATAGTGCCCCCTGCCCCAGAAGGGCAAGCCTTCCTGGGTGGGTAAACTCCGTGACTCAGTGTTCCTGACAGCTCCCTGGAGGGCCCTTTGGACCAACTGTCAAAGGGCACAGCCACTTTCCCTGCCCTCCCAGTGAAGGCCAGTTGGCCCAGCCCTCGCTAGAAGCTGTGTCACAGCTTCCCTGTAACTTTCCTTCTTCCAAGTCTCTCACACAGTCATGCAGAGGGCCCCCAAGTCAGTTCCGTTGGCATTTTAAGATTGCTGTCAAGACCCGACAAAAAAAGATGAACTTCAAGTTTGGTTCCCCGGGACACTTTCTTAAGAATGACTCATGCCCTTATGCAGAAACAGCCTGTTTCTCTAAATCCTCCTGGCTTGACCTTCTTGGTACAGTGAGCCACTAACATCAGTGCTGGGAGTACTCAGTGGTAATGTAAAACAGTAAAACAGGGAAGTAAATGGGCGTCTGATTTTTGGGTGAAACCCTGGGTTCTTGCAGTTTCCCCTGAAATGGATCCAGATCACACACTCAGGGTTGTCATGAAACTGCAATCAGAGGTGGAGAAAGTCCAGATGTTTGTTCTCTATTAGAACAGAAAGGGCAATCAGTTCTCTTTACCTCATTTTCTAAATGATCTTTCTAAAAACAAACAGAAAAGTGATATGTGATGGGAAAGCGTTTTTTTATATAGCGCACGATTTTCCTCACTAGTCTAGAAGCCCAGGGTTATAAACAGTCATGGCTACAGGGCTACAGAATATTAGCGCGTGTGGGTGAAGGAAGAGAGCTGTTAGCTAGAACTTTTTTGGCGTTGGGTGAGGGAAGCATAAGAATATGGTGGGCAGACTTGAGTTTCATGTCCCTGGCAAGTTTGACTCATTCAAACAAAACAAAACAAAAAACTCAGTTGCTTTGTTTCTTGGAGGTCTTGGTGACTTTGCAACAAAAACAAAAACAAGTGCAGCTGGAGGCAAACTGCCCAGGCTTGGAGGTGGCCTCACACCCCATTCAAGTGGGGACTTTGCCTGCCAGAGCCAGCTGAGATTTCTGTTGGCCGGACATGCAGGCACATCATTCACTTCCTTCCCCGTGTTTATAGAAGAGCACTCATTGATGACGCTTAGCTAGGAGCCCGAATCTGAATTTATCCTTGCTTTATCATCTCAGCAGGACAAGGTCCCAAGCCGGATATGAGTGGAATGCGGAGGAAAGGAAATGCTGTGTTAGCAGAGCATTGTCTCTGTGTGAGTGTGGTGTATGCACACAAGTGTAAAAACTGCAGAAAATCAGTGGTTCATAGTTGCCTTGGCATAGAACTTTCTGGGCAAGTTGGATTTCTTTGGTTCTGGGTTCTCCTTCAGATTTTCTTCCAAGCTGAAATCTGATACGCAGTCACTTAAATCTTTAACTTCAAACAGTGCTGAAGTACCTTTCCTCAAATGCTTATTTTCCCTCCCACCACACTTTTCTTTTTATTCTTCTTTTTAAGATGTTTAGAGAGGGAAGGAAGAGGGGGAGAGAGAGAAACATCGATTGATTAGCTGCCTCCTGCACAATTCCTACCTGAGATGGAGTCCACAACCCCTCAACCTGGGTACCCTGATCGGGAATCAAATGGGCAAACTTTAGGTGCACGGGACAACACCCAACCAAGACTGGTTAGGACGTTTTTTGTTCGTCTGATTGCCTCCTGCTCTTCTCTTCTTTTTCTTCTTAAAGTTCAAAATTAACATTCAGTTATTCATTCATTTGACAAATATTTATTGAGCATCTGTTACATTCCAGACATTCTTTCAGGCTCTGGGAATACATCAGTAAACAAGACAGATGAATCTTTGTCCTTAAGGTTTTGGTGACAATGTGATGAAGGATAAGGGTGGAGAGTGGCAGAGGTGAGCTCCCGGAGGCCCTCATCTGCTTTTCCTCTAGAGCAGCGATTCTCAACCTGTGAGTCGCGACCCCTTTGGGGGTCAAACAACCCTTTCACAGGGGTCGCCTAAGACCATCAGAAAACACATATACAATTACATATTGTTTTTGTGATGAATCACTATGCTTTAATGATGTTCAATTTGTAACAATGAAAATACATCCTGCATATCAGATATTTACATGACGATTCATAACAGTAGCAACATTACAGTGATGAAGTAGCAACAAAAATAATGTTATGGTTGGGGGTCACCACATGAGGAACTGTATTAAAGGGTCGCAGCATCAGGAAGGTTGAGAACCACTGCTCTAGAGACTGTAGACCTCTCCTTCTGCTGCCCCGGCTGTCCCCGTGGACCAGCACCCTGGACATGACTACAGCTTATTAGAAATGCAGAGTCTCTGGCCCCACTTCAACCCACGGAATCTGAATCTTCATTTTAACAGGGCTCCTAGGAGGGTTGTGCGCACTTTACAATTTGGGAAGCCCTGGGGCAGGCACTGTGGAGCTCCATTCCCTGTTTTTAAACTCTTTTATTGAGAAATCTTGGCCCCATCATCCCAGGGACAACGAAAAAGACCCAAATCTGGTTGCATAATTTATTTACACATTTGCTCTGCATTCGGTTTATATTCCTGTTGTAACAAATTACCATAAACTTTGCAGCTTAAAACAACACAATCTTACAGTCCTGTAGATCAGATGTCCGGTGGGCCCCGCTGGTTTCCCTGTTGCAGGTCTCAAAGCCAAAATCCAGATACCAGCAGGGTTGGGCTTTGGGGGAGAAGCCACTTCCAGGCTCATTCAGGTTGTTGGTAGAATTTAGCTTCATGACATTGTAGGACAGAGGCCCCATTTCCTCGCTTGCCATTGGCCCGGGGATCAAGCTCAGCTCCTAGAAGCACCCACATTTCGTGGCTTTTGGTCCCCTCCATCTTCAAAGGCAGCAACAGTGAGAAGAGTCTCTGTCACGCTTTGAATCTGTTCTGCCTCTTCTTCCACTGCATCTCTCTGACTCTTTTTAAAAAAATATTTTATTGATATTTTTACAGAGAGGAAGGGAGAGGGCTAGAGAGTTAGAAACAATGAGAGAGAAACATTGATCAGCTGCCTCCTGCACACCCCCCACAGAGTGTTCCAGCTTCTAGAAGCAGCCTGAGCTAAAGATACGGGGTGTGAAGCCCCGTGATGGGAATGCAGGTTTTGAGGAGGGGTGTGGTGACAGAGCAAGTTCCTGTTTTTTTCTGTGGGTAACGCTTGAGTGGAAATTCAAGACTCTGCAAGTGCCGCTGGGAAGGAGGCCTTGCCCATTGGAGGATAAGCCTGTGCCCACACTGACCCCTGCTCAGTTCTTGCTGCTCAGATCCAACAGGAAGGACTCCAGTGACTGGTCTGTGATAAATCATGTTGTGAAGCAGTTCTTTGTCTTCTGGGTCAACTTACACAACTAGTCCTGATTTCCCCAAAGCCACTCTGTGTGGATTTATCTAAGCTCTTCCTCTACCTAATCATGCTTTTGGCACCATCTCTTGGAATAAATTGTTTAACACCCCTGTTACCATGTTGCCCTTTTAGATTTGCCCTGAATTTGCTCCACGTGACCCTTCAGGGCTGTCTCTCAGTTTCTTACATTTCTGAGATCACCTGATCTTATTGGTGGACTGCAGGCATATTTCTTTGTACCCTGAGAAGCTCTTTCAGTTTGCTTTAAAAAAGAAGCGTTTTCCTTGCTTTAGTCATTTTAATGGTCCCTATTGGGGCTTATATAAGTCTCCTTAGCTTCCTTGATATGAGATGGCAAGAACTTAAGTGTTCCAAGTGACGACAGTGCATTGTGGTTTTGCAGAGGAAAGGATGACAGAGTAGGGGTTTGTCATTTTTATTGTTGTCTTAGAGGAGGAGCAGATGAAACTGGCTTTAGGGAACTTGTCTTGTGCCTGATAGTTTAGAGCAGGGGTGGGGAACCTTTTTTCTGCCAAGAGTCATCTGGATATTTATAACATCATTTGAGGGCCATACAAAATTATCAACTTAAAAATTAGCTGCTATATTTGGTCCAACATTTCATTAACTCACCCCTAATGCCTTGGCAGGGCCAGACCAAATAATTTCATAGGTCTTCTATGGCTCATGGTCCAGACGTTCCCCACCCCTGGGTTAGAGTATCTTTCCTGATGATTTTATCATCTTGTTCATTTTTCTTCAATAAGATGCTACAGGCACTTAGAACTGAGAACTTAGAACCTGTCGTTTTATGAAGACGGTTTATTTTTTTCCATAAATATATTTGCTTCCCAGAACGTTCATCTACCACTTTTCCACTCAGTTGTGTGGCATTTTGAACTTTCTCTAGAGTTGTCATTGAGCTAGCGATTAATTACCTGAATGAATGATTGTTATTCAAGTGGAGATATTTCTGTACCCTCTTTCTTCCACACAAGTTATAAAAATGTGAAATAAAGTTAGTCTCTGTAATTTCTCATTCTATTTCCTCATCCACGGTAGGGCCCATTTAACTAAGTTGTTTTCATACAGGGTGAGGCAAAAGCAGGTTTACAGTTATTCGTATGTAAAATAATAGAATAATTAATAAATAATAATACAAGAATAAACTGTGTTTCACATAGGAACAACTGTAAACCTACTTTTGCCCTACCCTGTATTTGTAATTAAAAATTCCTCAAATACCACAGGGATTTCATTTTTAAAAATAATCTTTGCCGTTGGAAACTTTAGGAATTTAAGTAGTGCATGCTAATGTCCCTCCATCCTCCATCTACTTGCCTATGTGCTTAGCTTCTCAGAGGTCTCCAAGTAGTCCTATAACCTGTATTTCTATTGCAGGTGGAGTTTACACCCACTGTGATTTAGAGCTACTTGTAATTGTGGCTCAACTTTTATTTGTTTATTGTCTCTCAGTTTCCTCTCCATATAACATTCAAGGGGGTGATGTTAAAATGGCTGTGCTTCCCCAAGCAATCTGTACTCTCAGAGCTTGTCATCCAGCAACGTAGTACCCACCACTGTCCTCAAAGTGATGTAGCTAGTCCACTTTTAGTAGTAATTGTGCACAGATTTTTTAAACCAGAATTGAATGTTTGATTTTGCTAGTTATTTTGAAAATTAAATGATGGAGATGTTTTGAATTAAAAAGGCATGAAAGGAGTAGTAAAGGAACTTACTACTTGAAGGTAGATAAAAGAACAGAGATGCTAGTTTTGGCTCTATTTCCCCTGCCCACTACGCCCACCTTCCTAAAGCTGTTAGGACAACAGGTTACTGCACCACCTGGAACACAGTGCACGTGCCTGGGTCAGGACCACCAAGAGCTAGTTTGTCAGGAAACTCAACCAAGCACAGTTTTCCCAGACCAGCTTTGGGGGACCTGGAAAGTTGGTTTTACAGAAATTTTCTTTAATATTCTCTATAAATGAATTTTGGCCTGTTAGGATCTAGACTACTTTAGGGTGACTACTAGTAATCTTCTGAAAGACAATTCTGGGAAAATTACAATAATACCAAAAGATCTACTCACAGACATAAGCAAGTTGTTTCATTTGGGCGATTGATTTGCCTGCCTTTGGAATTATTCAGTTTAAAAAATTTACTTCCCAATATAACTTTGGTGAAGTTTGATGCTTTGGTGATACAGGATGTTTGATTCTGAGCTCAAAATAATTAAAAATTATGGTTAAAATAAAGCTTTTCCCCCTATTTCAATCCACTTATACAACTAAGCATCTGTCTTATTGTTTTTTCCTAGGATGGTCCAGATTCTGCCGGAGGAAACCGGACAAAGCAGGAGAGTGCATGGCTGTTCAGGCTGTGGTACAGCTTTGACCACAAGTATCCTTTGAAGTAGTTTCCCTCAAACAGTGCTGATGAAATCGTCCTGTTGAGTTGCCAGTAAATGACTTCTGATAAGTAAGGAAGGATGTGTACAGTGTAATCAGTTCTCGCTTGGGACTCATGCAGTGATCATTCAACCACAGGTAGTCCTGGTGAGCATCTCTTTGGGTAAGAGATTTAGCCGGCCCATGGCCTGGTAGACTCATGTGGTTCTGCAGAGCTTTGTATACAAGGGGAGTGTGGCTTTGTAGGTGAATTGGTGTGGTCAGGAAGTGAAGTGGAGCATATTATTCACTGGGCTTAGTATTTGGTAATTAAATATGATAAAAATAACTTCGCTACTCGTGACTTACATTTTCACTTTTTTATTTTTTAAATTTATCTTTATTGTTGAAAGTATTACCCATGTCCCCTTTTTTTTGTTATTTTCCCCCATTGACCCCCTCCTCCTTGCACCCACCCCCCCTGCAAGCTTTTGCCACACTATTGTCTGTGTCTATGGGTTATGCATGTATGCATGTAAGTTTCCCAGTTAATCTCTCCCTCCCACCCCCACCCCCACTTTTCCTCTTAGATTCATCAGTCTGTTCATGGTTCTGTGACTCTGGATCTATTTTGTTCATCACTTTATTTTGTTTATTAGATTCCACATATGAGTGAGATCGTGTGATACATTTTCACTTTTAAATAGACTCTTTTGATGAACAAGGTCTTCGTCCAATTCACTGATTTTTTTTTTCTGTTCTGGTCAGCACTCTGTGTCCCGTTTTAGAAATCTCTGTCTATCTCAAAGTCTTGAAGCTAATTTCCTGTGTTATCTTTTAGAAGCTTTATATTTTTTCTTCTGTGCACCTTTTTTTTTTTTCAGTGACAGATATGGGAACTGAAAAAATATAGAGATAGTTTGAAGTGCTCTAGATGAGGTTTTCATTCTTCTGAGATAATTTAATTTACATTGGGTCTAGGTTAGGGGCATTAGTAATTCCAGATCACTTTAGTGCAATCAGAAATAAAAGTGATTTGAAACTGGGCTGCAGTTCCTGTGAAGGTTAGTCTGTTTTCTGTCTACCCTTTGTTCTAGGGCAGTGGTTGGCAAATTGTGGCTCAGCAAACCACGGCTCGGCAAAACTTTGGCCCCTTGAGTGTGGCTCTTCTACAAAATACCGACTTCTGCGCATGGACCAGGAAGTTTCAATCGCACTGTACATGCACGCCCGCACGTGGTATTTTGTGGAAGAGCCACACTCAAAGGGCCAAAGAGCCGCATGTGGCTTGCGAGCTGAGGTTTGCCGACCACGGTTCTAGGGTTCCAACCTAGAGCCTAGGGTGTTTACGGAGTCTTCCTCAGAAGGCCCTGGACACCAGTTTTTGTCAGATTCACTATTTTTTCAGTCTGCCAGATGCTCTGCTCAGCTGCTGAGGTGCTTTAGGGAAAACGTGGCTCACCAAGTGCCAGGCTCCCCACTTGGGTGTCCTCCTCCAGATTCTGTCTCTCTTCACTGCCCTGGTAGCTTTCTGATGCCATTAAGCAGAAGATTTTGTTGTGTTTTATCTTGACCTAGCTTTCCTAGTCATTCTTAGTGGAAAGGATGGTTTAAATTATTGTTTACTATTGTCTGCTATTAACTGAAATAGAACCCCCAGAGGTTTCTTAAAGCCATATGAACTTCGTCTACATTGTAATTCAGAAGGCATGTTACTCACTGGGCTTAGAAAGGATGTAGAGAAAACTGGAGGGAGTTCACAGGAGAGTGACAAAATACTAAAGTGATAAGAAATTGATTCTTGTCAGCACTTAGTACTCCACTTTCAACAATGGATAGATTATCCATATGGAAAATCAGTAAGGAAACATTGGAGTTGAACTACATTTTAGATCAAATGAAACTAACAGACATGCATGGAACATTCCATCTAACAGCAACAAAATGTATTCTTCTCAAGTGCACATGGAACATTCTCCAGGATAGATCTGTGTGTAAGATCACAAAACAAGTCCTAGAAAATTTAAGAAGATTGAAATTAAAGCAAGTATCTTTTCCAACCATAATGGTATGAAAGTAGAAATCAATAACAGCAGGAAAACTGGAAACTTTACAGATATGTGTACATTAAACAGCACACTCCTGAATGAACAACCAGTGGGCACACATTAAACAATACACTCCCCAATAACCGATGGGCCAATGAAGAAATCTCAAGGGAAATAAAAAATATATCTTGAGATAAGTGAAAACGGAAACACAACATAACAAAATTTATGTGATTTAGCAAAAGCAGTTTTAAGAAGAGATAAAAAGTTTATAGTGTTAAATACCTACATTAAAAAAAGAAAGATCTTGCCCAGCCAGTGTGGCTCAGTGGGTGAGTGTCCACCTATGAGCCAGGAGGTTATGCCCGGGTTGTAGGCTGGATCTCCAGTGTGGGGTGTACAGGACGCAGCCGATCAGTGATTCTCTCTCATCATTGATGTTTCTATCTCTCTCTCCCTCTCCCTTCTCTGAAATCCATAGAAGTATATTTTGAAAAAAAAAAATCTTGCCCTGACCAGTGTGGAGGGTCTTGCCTTCAGTTTGTAAAACAAACAAACAAACTAACAAACAAACAAAAACACAATATCTGTGAGGTGCAATAAAGAGAAACACAATAAAACCAGGTATGGCTACATTTTCTGTATCGTACTGGTAAAATGGGGGAAAGAGACATTTTCTAGGTCGAATGTCAGATGATTTACTTGTTGGGATTTCTAAACACATTTTGTTGGGGGTTTCTTTGCAGACATTGTTTCCTTAATTCTCTTTTTAAAGTTACTTGAAGCCCATCCTCACACACAGTGGCCCCCCATTAACCACCACGCTCCCAGCCTGGTGTGGCTTGCTCGCTCGATGTCTGACCAGTCCCCAGGTGTATGACGTAAGTACAGCATGTCAGGGCGGCATGTCTATGCAGCCTCCAAATTCACAGAAATTGCTTCTCCAGTAAGATGATTGATTACAAATGACCAGCTTCCTATGCTTAATACATTGTGCACAGCAACAGAGAGACCTTTTACTAGGGTTACGGGGTTCCCAAACATCAGCAGCTATGACGTAGCAGAAAGATTCCTCTCTGTCCCTCTGAGGCTCCAAACTTTAAAAGAATGAACTATGTGCCAAGGAATCTCCCCCTGAAATCTGGGTGCTAAGAGCCCTGGGAGAGGTATTTTGACAGAAATGAATAAAAACAATATTTAGCACATGCATTAATGGGAGAAATGGAACATACTAAAACAGGGAACGTGATGTCATTTGTTGTTAATAAAACTATCACCAGGCCCTAACCGGTTTGGCTCAATGGATAGAGCGTCGGCCTGCGGACTGAAAGGTCCCAGGTTCGATTCCGGTCAAGGGCATGTACCTTGGTTGCAGGCACACCCCCAGTTGGGGGTGTGAAGAAGGCAGCTGATCGATGTTTCTCTCTCATCGATGTTTCTCTCTACCCTCTCCCTTCCTCTCTGTAAAAAAATCAATAAAAAAAATATATATTTTTTAAAAAAAAACTATCACTGGGCAGACAGAGTTTCAGGACTTTCTAAATAGTGATGGAGAGGAGGAGCGAGTTTTAGAATTCCTCTCTGCCCGACTAGAGGACTCTTATTTGATTATACATTTGCATCCTGCCTGATTCCAGTGAAGATTTGAGGCAGCAAGCAAGAGGAGTTGCGTGCTTGCCTGTTAAGCTGCAGCATTGGTTAAATGGAGTCACATTGTGGAGTTTGGAGAAGTCGACATTGAGAAACAATGCAGAAAGCATGGGTAAGGGCACAGAGATGGGCTGGGACTAGAGAAGTGAGGTAGGCAGAACCCAGGAGTCCTCCCTAGGCCAGTGCACTTAACAGGCATTCCTCTAGCACCTACTGAGTTAAGCACTTTAAGGAAGGGCGCCGGCAAGAGGAGAAGAAGGTCACTGCCCTTTGGTGATTCACCCAGATGGGGAGTCCAGGCATGGACACAGGAGAATCTGCCTGTGGCCTTGGGCAGCATGACTGAGCGGGGACCATGGACTATCAGGGCAGGTTCAGGTCCTGCAACAAGGACACCCTGTGTGTAGAGGACAGGATGTAGGACTTCAGATGTGCTTTGAAGGGTAGATAGGAAATAGGAGAGAAAGAGCAGTTTCCAAACTGTGTTTGCTATTCAAGAAGGAAGTCCAGACCTAGCCGGTTTGGCTCAGTGGCTATAGGGTCAGCCTGCAGATAGAAGGGTCCCAGGTTCGATTCCGGTCAAGGGCACATGCCTGGGTTATAGGCTCAATCCCCAGCCCTGGTCAGGGTATGTGTGGGAGTCAACCAATTGATGTGTCTCTCTCTCACATCGATTTCTCTCTCCCCCTCTCCCTTTCACTCTCTCTAAACAATCAATGGAGAAATATCCTCAGGTGAGGATAACAAAACAAAACAATAAAGGAAGTCCACAGTTTTTGACAGCCATTGAAATAGGGGAGTGGGGGAGCACCCCACCCTTGTTTTGCTTGTTGAACCCGTTGGAGAATGAAAGGTTGTGTCGGACCTCACGCTGCTTCCTGACACTCTCTCCCTGCCATCTTTTAGTTTCAAATGGCTGCCACTTGGCTGATGCCTGCCTTGCACAGCCTAGTCTTTTTTGCTACAACTGCTGCTTATTATGAGATGTTGTCACAGTCCTCTTCCCAATGGGGTCACTTTTCATATCGTTTAGGTGGGCAGAACCAGTCTGGAGGTAGCATAAATCCAAACCTTCCTACCAGCTGGAAAACCTTGGGCAAATTTCATAGGTTCTCTTAGCTCAGATCTTCTGCTCTGTGACATGTGCTTGCACCCTTCGCAGAAGAGGGGTAAGGACCAAATGAGAGCTTATGTGACATTCCTGGCAGGCATATAATAGACCAGTGATGGCGAACCTTTTGAGCTCGGCGTGTCAGCATTTTGAACGCATGTCATAGGTTCGCCATCACTGTAATAGACCGAGCATGTCAAACTTAAAGGCTAACCCGGGCCAAATAAACAAGGTGTAAGTGTATGTGGGCCACAAAAAAACAAAAGCTTCAATTTTCATAGAAATGTGGGTTTATTTCTATAGAGACTTGCTGAATACAAAGGGCTGAAATAAATGAGCCATCATTAACATAACATAATAGAACATTATAATAAAAATTAGTATTTTTTCTTGAACATTCTTACCAGACACTGAATAGCTGCACAAATTAATAAGCATAACACAGATAAACCTATTTTTCTTGTTCTCCGAAAGCAAAATATTTCCTGTTGTGCACACGGTGCGCCTGCGTGTAAGGCGTGTAAGGGAAATGAATGCAAGACAATTATAGTAGTCATTAGCGAATGTTGTAGTTCATTATTAATAATTATGTATAACAAGATATTGTAAAAATTAAGTTACGAATTTTTTACTAAAACACTTCTTACGTACCATTATATTGGCTGGGCTACAAAAATATTCATTATGGGCTGCGAGTTTGACGTGCTTGGACGCTCAAGAAAATATACCTTCCCTCTGTATCACTTGCTTCATCTATATGAGGACTTCCCATCAGGGATTTTGTGTGGCGACAGGAAGGAAATCCTAATAATGGTTTGTCCTCTTCCCTACATGCTGACGAGGGTAAAGAGTAGTTCAGATGTAAACTAGGTGTGTGTAGGATGGTTTGTGTAGGGCAGGAGGCCCACCCAGAAGACCTTCCCAGAGGAGAGAGGACCTGAAACCTATTTGCAGGTCTTCCCAGTGACCTTAGCCCTTCCTTTCTTTGTGGGTTGGGAAGCTGAAAATCCAGGTTGGTTTCCTTTTCTTCCGTTTTGTCACAAACTGTCAGGCATTTAAAATCACAGCTGCTTTTTGCTATTCCAAGTCCTAATTCAGGCAACAGTGCTATACATTGAACAGCACGCTACAGTTTACATCCAGTTCTCATGCTGGAGGCTCAGTGCAGGCAAGTCTCATTATCCCCAGTTTCAGATGAGGAGTTGAGATTGGGGTTGGCTGGAGCTCTGGGAGATTCCAGTCTTCGATTTGTTGTTAATTGTTATTTGTTGCACTTTTCAGAACCAAGAGCCACTGAGAGAGGAAGACTCTGATTTCATCCTGACTGAGGGTGACCTCACCTTGACCTACGGGGACAGCACAGTGACTGCCAATGGCTCCTCAGGCTCCCACACGGCCTCCATGAGCCTGGAGGGCAGTCGGAAAACCAAGAGCAGTTCTGAGGAGGCGCTGGAACGAGACCTGGGAATGGGAGACCAGAAGGTTTCAAGCCGGGGCACCCGCCTAGTGTTCCCCCTGGAGGATAATGCATGACTTTCCCCCCAAACCCTGAAGCGATGGGGTAGACCCACCGGTGGTGTGGGGCTGGCTGCATGCTCCAGTGTTGATTGAGGTGGTACAGTGACTGAATGGAACTAACGCTTCTATTGTATTGAGGTCTGAAGATATCTTAACATTTAAAATTTAACCCAAGATACAGATGGTGGGGCTCAAGACAAATGCAGATCTATTCCCACTTTTTCACTTAGTAGTGCACTGTTCAGAGTTAAACAAACAAAAACAATCGCATGCTTTACTGGTCTCTAATTCATTCACCTGTGGTACCTGAACAAGGTGTGGTGGGTGCCGGGGACCCCTCTCAGGAGAGGCTTCGTATCCATACACAGCAGTGCGAGTCTAGCTGGATGTAGGAATATCAAGTGAAGGGAGAACAGGCTAGAAGAAAGATCGTGAAGGAAGGCCAGTGAGATTGGACCTCCAAGGATGAGGGGAAGCTGGTGTTAAATGGGACAGAAAGCATGAAAAAGCAATTTGAGTGGAGGCTCCAGCAACAAGAGATGATGACAGCAGCCTCATCTCTGGATTCCTGACTTCTTTTGCTGCCTGTATTTTCTCTAGACTGAAGATTGGAAAATATATCCATCAACATTTCAACATGGGGGAAAGAATTGTAATTCCTTCTCTGGAAATCTCCACAAAGAAGAAGTTACTGGAATGTTTCAAACCAAAGGCAAAATAGTGTTAAAGTGCTGTGTTTTTTTTTGTTGTTGTTGTTGTTTTCATTAATGGGAAGGCAGGAGAAACTGTTTAGAAACTGATGATTACATCACTGTAAACATCAGTCAATTCTTGATGGCTGCCATATGAGCTGACTGCCGGAAAATGGTTAACAGGACTGACATATCTACTGTGGGTTTAGAAAGAACACCAAAATTTGTGGAGTGCTTTGATCTGGTGACGAGAAGGCAGTAACAACCCTCAGAGGCAATATGCTAGTATTCAGAGGGAAGAAATCTCACTGTGAAAAAAAATGACTGCAAAGAAAACACAAGATTGTATTCTAAAAACTTAGTAGAATTCCAAACTTTTAGCTAAGAAATGAACGAGATTTCAGTGGTCACCTGAAGAAACAGAGGCGAGGCAGTGGAATGTTAAGCTTTATTTATACAGTGGAAGGTTCCTGTCCACTCTCAGATTAAGAATCGAGGTGTCTTGGCACTGAGTGCCATGTAGAGAAAGGTCATTTTCATGGTATCTGGGGAGGTCTGCACCAGCTTCATGTGTGAGTGTGGTCTGAGATTTAGATTTCTACTTTGGGTTCTTTTGTGGGTGAGCTGTTCTACCTGCCCACACCTGTAGTAAGTGAAATATGGAGGAGAGCTCTTGGAAGCCAAGTTTGAGATTCTTCCTGTGGTCTATGCTTCAGTGCTATTATTTTCAAAAACCCAATTTCTAAAAAATGCTTTCATTTAATGTGGCCATTTCCCTTATAAGATAGTGGCTCAATCTTGTGCACCCATCATGAAATCAGCCATTTAACCTGCTTAACTCGCATTTTTAATGGTTAATTTTTAAGTAAGACATTGTTTTGCCCTCTTTTTCAGTTGATAATTTGTGCAAACCAAGAAAAATTTATTAGTTTGAGCCATATGAAATTGCTGGTATTCAACCACTTTTTTTTAAAGAAACAAAAATGATAATTTCATATGGTTCAGTATAAGAGAATTGGATGATTTTTATTCCCCTTTCCCTTCTATCTACACTAAAGGACATTTTGATTTGATAGTCATCCATGGGCTTTGTAAGTTTGGGGAAAAAGCTAAACATACTTACCTCATGCTTCCACTATGCTGAAAAGTAAAAAGTCGGGTGCCGAGAAACTAACCCAACGCTAACTATTTGCTGCCAGTCTGGCATAAACCAGATAGAAACTGCTGAGTAATGGTACATCCAAGTAAGCAAAATTCTTCTGAGAGGATAATCCCAAGTCATTTTATAAGCATATGTGTTCTGGGTAGGGTGGGGGGGAGGTTATAGTTCCACAAAGTCAGATGTTCTAAGGCAGAGGTTCTCCACCCTGGCTGCACATTAGGATGAGCTGGCCCATTTATTGAGAATATCAACATAAAGGCCCACCCTCAGAGACCCAGATTCAGTAGGTTTACAGTGCGGCCAGGCTTCTGTGCTATGTTTGGATCCTCAGGGATTCTAATCTGCAGCTCGGGTGGAGAGCCTTTAGTCTAGAACTTGCAGTGGGCCCAACCTGAAACCTTAAAGGATGACCTAGCAAATTCAGGTGTTTTTTTTTTTAAATTGTTGGTCATGTGGAACAAACTGAGTGTTGATCAATAATACAGACCAGGTAGCTGTGAGTGAATTTCATGCTAATAATGTTTGTAGAAGTCAAACACATACTCTATAAATACAACTAAAAAAAAAAGGTCACATTAGAAAACCTTAGAGCCTGAAAGAGGGAGAAGGATGACTTGAATGTATATATTGGAGGGATTAAAACCTGTCATTTTTGCTCCGATTTGTGGGGAAAAGGGGTTTTGTCTTAACTGAGCTGCTGACTAATCAAATGTGAAGGTTTCTAACAAGCTGTCTTTTCCATTTAACCTGGGATTAAATTAATAGTCCCCTTTGCAGTCAAGTGAACTTTCTTTCTCTTCACACATCACTCGTCTCCATGCCAGAATCCACACTGGACTCCTTAAAATAAGGGCCAGAGCACAGGCCCCTTATTACGTGGAAGGTTGTGATCACTTCACTGTCATGTGGTGGTGGTGTTGGGAGCTGGTACTTAAGGAGATGCAAACTTTTGTGGATAGCACTGGCAGAGGGAAGATATAAACTCCTGACATTCTTTTTAATATTCTTTTCCTAGAGAGGAAATTTAGGGTTTAAATAAGTCTGCATTTCTTCCTAAGAAGCAAGTATAGGAAAGGCATATGTAATTAAATGGACACTGACCATCAATGATACTTATTGGGCTGACCAGACAGATAAGCATTGATGCCTTGCAGCCAAAAACCACACTGCGACATCAAATGTTTCATCAACCAAACAGCAAGAGCTCTTTAGGCTGTGATCCCTAGACCTGAAAACGTCCTCTGTGGTTTGGTTGAAAAAAACAAATTTTAGAAAACACCAAAAATGTTATCTTCACTATCCATGAACATTTCAGACTAGAGCAACGAAGTGACCGTTCCTTCCAAAATAGAGGTCTGTTGCACGGTCTTCCTTCACCCCTCATCATATCCCTCCCTTTTTCTGTCCATAGTAGAAGTTAATGTAATCATGTTGGATATTTGATGTGAACAGTGACTCTTAAATGTAGAAATACCACTGATGTCCTTAGAGATCGGTGCCAGGGCAATTGAGCCATTCATCAGAGGGGAATCATCTGCTTGGAAACCTACCTTGGTACCCATTGTGACTTCTAAGGGGTGTATCAGAAAACTAATTTTACCATCTCTTGTCAAATGTATTCTGGAATGAGGGTTGCTGTTACAATGAATGACTTCTTATTCCACTTCAGGAATAGGGAACTTGACAAGTTTCATGCCTGCCTTTGATGTTGATTCTGCAGATGAGTTACTACTGTAGGAGCTAATCTGTCAGAAACTTTAGACTGGTGTCATTGAGTTCTGATCTCTTCTGTCGTTTTCTAAGTGGGGATCTGGCTGGCCAGTGTCATTTGCTATGTCCTCACACAGCAAGTTGAAGAATCCAGTGGGCAAGAGTTAGAATTTAGAAACAACCCATCTGAATGCTGCTTTCACCACTTTGATACCTGAAAAGACCTTCCCCCTTTCTAAAACCTAATAATAATATACAGACAAATACCATAGAAACCAATGTGAGGATCTGACTAGGAAAAGCAAGTAGGATTTTTGACAGTCCTTTCAAAACAAGATTTAGAAGTAAACCATATTTTCCAGTTTGAATTTTCATAAGTAGAGTTTTAAAAAAAATTAAACACATCTTGTCTTGTCACCCAGTGCTTAGGAGAAATTGTAAAGAGCAAAACCAAAGTTTTTGATGTAAATTTTATTTTTGTAAGCAGGGTATACGATAACCATGGTCCACATGGAACACATAGGCACCGGTTTTCTGCTACTTGAGCCTTGGAGAAGATGAGAAGGAAGGTCTTCCTGTTCTGCTGCCTTTTGAAAAGGTCTGAAATAGACATGAGAGCACTTGGGAGAGGCCATCCTTTTCTTCTGCTGGCCACCTTTTAAAAAGGGTTAACGGGATGTCATCATCACCTCAATTCTTGGCCAATGGAGAATGATTTGTGCCGGTGTGTGCTGGAGGAGCTCAGAAGAAAAAGGACATGGAAATAGCTTGAATAACTCTACATCTCTGTCAAAAGCACTTAAAAACAGTTAAGATCCAGTGTTACTGGGTGACCATCCAACTGCATGGACATTTGGGGGTTGACTTTTGTTATTATTCTAGCTGTGGGCTTTGGAGAAGCAGAAGAATGGTTTTCGGTTGTGTGGGTATTATGTCACTCTATGGATTTGGAATGTATCACTGCACTCATTCAAAGTATGATTTCATAGTAGTGTCACCTACTCCTAGGTTTTCTTTTTTACATAAAATACATCTGGTCTTCTTACTTAGAAGTTTTTGTTCATTAAATTTATTCAATGCGAAGGCCACCAATATTCATTTAATAGCTACAAAGCAATTTTTTAAATAGAATAGGATAAATTTAACATGGACGATGTGACCTTCTGGAGAACTTTTTATAGAAAGCTTAAATACTGTAGTTGGGGAGAATTTTGTCTTCTATTTCCATTCAACTGTGGCAAACTGTTGGTTTTATAAAATTAACATTATGTAACAGTACGTTATATAAACATGTTATACAAAATAATATTAAAATATGTTTAACTGTGAAAAAGTGAAGACTTGGAGTTATCAGCAACCTTTATGTGCAATAAAGAAAACTGAAGTTAGACCCCAAAGTGCGGTCTTTCCGTAGCATCCTACTTAATGTTTGCCTTTGTGTATATGTTTAGATTGATATTGTAAAGCTAATCACATGTTTTCCTGCTTTTGCTGATATTTAACACATTTTTCTCAAAGCTCTTTCTGGATTTTTTTTTTTTTACAAAACTCAAAATAAAAAGATTAACTCGCTGAACTGATCTTGTTTTGGTTTTTAAAAGTATTGTCTGTTAGTAGAAGTGTAGTATGATCGTATTCTTCACTGAGAGGTTCTTTTCTAGGTGGAAGCGATTCCTCTCCAGCTTCATTTACTAGTAGACCAGGAGTTGACAAAATGACAGCGGGCACCTGGATCCGGACTGGCCCACTGCCTATTTTGTAAATAAAGTTTTGTTGGCATACACTATGCTCATTCATTTGCATATTGTCTGTGACTGCTTTCATGCAGAACTGAGAAGTTATGACAGAAGTGAGCAACTATTTGCTTATAAAGCAGGAACCCTTTACTGTCTGGCTCTTCACAGAAAATGTTTTTGCCAACCCGATTTAGATGCTTGAAAAACTTTAGTTTTAAAATAGGGTCTAAAAACCATGGCAACATGTGCCTTAGAATTAAAAGAACCACTTCAAACTCATCTCTGCCTGTGACTTTTCCTGGCCTGAAACTCTCTTTAGTAGGCTTTGAATGTTGGATAATTGATAAGAATCTTGAACCCAACATGCAGTTTATTTATAGTCTTCATATTCCTTTGTTTGTAGACTAGCTTTCCCCAGAATCAAACTGCATCATAAAATCTGAAGCTTCCTAGCAAAACAAAACAAAAATCCTATCATTAGCATGACTCAGTCATTTAATGGTATGATTACAAAACACCAAATGGAACAATTTAAAAGCAAAAAATTGTTTCAGTTCATTTCTCTCCCACCCTACAGAGAGAAATTACTTTTTAAAAATCAGTTCAGGGGTGATGGCAAGGGGAGCTGTTTGAAGAAGGGTTGGATGAGTCAGGCTTAAAACAATATCATCTAGACCTTTTATTTAATAGTGCGTAATTTAATCAAGATACACAGGACCGCGCTGGGCCCTTATTCACATTAATGTTTTGTCCAGACACCTGATAGGAAATGGTACCAATCGCATCTCTTCTTTGTTGTGAGGACGCCTTGTTGAAATGGCTCCAGCCGAGGCAGGTTCGGGCTGGGAACTAAAGCTCTTCCTATTTTATTGCCATGATTAACCACATTGCACTTCCTTACTGGAAATTTTGTTTCAATCAATGTGTCCGTCATTATTTAATATGCTCATGATATTCCTGCTCTCCAGAATTGCACAGCGGTTGGTACCAAATCAAGTCCCAGTCTCTGACAGCGTGATAGGTTGCCTCCACAGCATGGCTTCTCCAGTGCTGGGGCAACATGCTGAGTGCCCCGTTCATGATGCCTGACCTGGAAGGAAAGAAACAAAGGATGTTTGAACTTCAGAACACCAAAATTCACAAACAGCCTGTTGGATCCTGATGATATAAGGCCTCTTAAATATTAAACCTTTAATCTTCCTTATCTAAGCTGCATTATTCAATGCTAGAAATCCATACCGAACCAGTATCTATCATTTCTGCTTTGTAAAGACAGTCCAAGAATAAGTGTGACCCAAGAGGGGTTAGATGAGAATAAAGACAGGAAAAAGATGGGGGTACCTCTGTCAGAGTGACTGTGCTTTCTGCAGCTGCTCCTGTGGGGTGCCTTTCAGGAAAATAGAGCTTTCTGAGACCTACTAGGTAGAGTGGGGGAAAGAGGTGGGATTGAAGCTATACCTGTAGCCCCCCAAGTAGACTAAAAACACTATCATCAAATTTCCTACCATTTTCAATATTTTTCTTGTGGTTAAAATATAAACCTATCCATTAATTCTTTTTTTAATCTTTATTGTTGAGAATATTACAGATGTCCCTCTCCCCGCACCAGCCCCCATTGTCTCCCTCCACTCAGTTCCCACCCCACCCCAGGCCTTCACCACCCCATTGTCTGTGTCCATAGGTAATGCATATCTACACTAATAAAAGAAATATGCAAATTGACAGTATCTTCACAACACCCACCAGCCAATCAGGAGTGAGTATGCAAATTAACCCAACAAAGATGGTGGGTTAATTTGCATATGCAGGCGCCGAGAGGCCAGGGGTGGGACACTGGCGCCAGGGCGACGATGCCAGTATCCCAAGCCCAGGCCACGGGGGAAGGGAGGGATGCAGACACAACACAGGGCTGCTAGGCTGGGGGCATGCTCCCAGCTCAGCGGACACGTGAGGCTGCTGGGCTGGAGGTGTGCCCCTGTGGTGGCTTCCTTTGCGCGGCGGTGTCAACTAAGCCCCCATGCCTGGAAGACAGAGAGCGGACAGCAGGGTGTGGCGGCTCCATTCACTTGGCAGTGGTGGCAAAACCCCCAGGCCCGGCAGAAAGAGACAGAGAGCGGACAGCAGGGCGTGGCGGTTTCCTTGGTGTGGAGGCACCAGTGAAGCCCCAGGTCGGGCTGACAGAGAGCTGACAGCAGTGTGTGGCTGCTTCCTTAGTGCGGCAGCAGTGATGAAGCCCTCATGCCCAGCAGACAGACAGCAGACAGCAGGGTGTGGCGGCTTCCTTCGCATGATGGTGGTGAAGCCCCCAGGCCCAGCAGACAGAGAGCTGACAGCAGGGCATGGGGGCTTCATCGCCAAGGTGGCGGCAAAGGCCCCAGGCCCCGCAGACAGACGACAGCGGGGTGAAGCAGCCAGGCCTCACAGAGAACAGAGAACCATGGGGAGTGGGCCTAAGGTATCAGTAGGACATCCCCTGATGGCTCATGGATTGGAGAGGGTGCAGGTTGGGCTGAAGGATTCCCCTACCCCCTTGTATGAATTTCGTGCACCGGGCCTCTAGTCTATAATAATAAAAGTGTAATATGCTAATTAGATCGGATGTCCTTCTGGGC